GAACCTTTTATCATCTTTGGTGGACTTGTGAAAAGGCTAAAAAAAATTGGGACCAGATATGCATTGCTATTCAAAAGATTCTTAAAGTGAACATTAAAAAAAAAACCAGAATTGTTTCTATTGGGTTTGATGGAGAAAGGATTGGAGAAACAACATGGAACCTTGCTTCTATATATGATCACAGCTGCAAGACTGATATATGAGCAAAGATGGAAGGACTCACAAATACCTACAGTGGAAGAATGGATTATTAAATTAATGGACTTGGCTCAAATGGCGAAGTTAACAACTTTAATAAGAGATAATCACAAATACCTACAGTGGAAGAATGGATTATTAAATTAATGGACTTGGCTCAAATGGCGAAGTTAACAACTTTAATAAGAGATAATCACAAATACCTACAGTGGAAGAATGGATTATTAAATTAATGGACTTGGCTCAAATGGCGAAGTTAACAACTTTAATAAGAGATAATCACAAATACCTACAGTGGAAGAATGGATTATTAAATTAATGGACTTGGCTCAAATGGCGAAGTTAACAACTTTAATAAGAGATAATCACAAATACCTACAGTGGAAGAATGGATTATTAAATTAATGGACTTGGCTCAAATGGCGAAGTTAACAACTTTAATAAGAGATAATACCATTTCTAAATTTGTCTCCTCATGGCAACCCTTCCTAAATTACGTGCTTGGGTTGGGAAAAAATGAAGCTTTGATTGTGGAATTTAATGATTAGATGGTTTGTGTTGTTAGAAATAATGTGAATTTGGATTAATTAGTGATAGGAGATTAACTTTTTTCAAATTTGTATTTGTATCTGTATTGGAGATAGTCGGAAGTAACTTTCTGTTTTATCTTTCTACCTATGTTCACTATTTTAGTTTTTGTCTTTTACTTTTAGTTCTATCTTCTTTTTTTTCTATACTTTTTGATTTGTATTTTAACTGTACTTTTTATATATCTTAATAGAAGTTTTAATAAAAAAAAACAAATCAGAAGGAATCCAGGATTGCCTTTTCCGACTAATAAATTTAATTAAAAGCCTATCATAGACATATATGCTCTCCTGCCTACAATACATACTTTGAGATATGTCTAACAGGCCCCTAAAATAGTTTATTTCTGCTCCAGAAATTCAGCTGGGTGATATTTATTTAACAGAGTTCTTATGCTTTTAGTCAGAAAAATAAACTCTTAATAAGAGTTCACTTTAAACTCAAGATTCTTTTGAATAATATAGAAGGTGATGTGCTAGAATTTTCAGAAATATAGCAGTTACGGCTAATCATTGAAAGAAAAAACAATAAAAACTTCAGGATTTTCATCATGAATTCCATTCTAGATAAAAATTGAATTAGGAATGGCTTTCATAATGCTCATTCACTTACTGGTGTTCCATCCATCCCAAAAATTTAATTGCAATATTCTAATGTGCACACAATAATGAAACTCTAATAATGAAAAATAGCCAAGTTCCTTTTTTTTTTTTAGTTTTTCACAATCTCCTTGCTAGAATATATTAGCAACTTCCAAAGACAGTTTCTCATTACCCTGTTCCATTGTGTCTAAATCTCTTTTGGGGGGTTCTGAATTTTGATCCTATACAAAATCTTCCATTTTTGTCTTCCACAATCATCATGTGATAGAAATGTCATCATAATGAATATACAGTTTTTTAAAGTTTTTAAGATTAGAGCTGCATCTTTTCCTGCCAAGGAGGGCAGCTGTAGGGATTCAGGGAAATACTCATTTGAATTCAGGATAGACGGCCTCTCTATTGCTGCCCCCTTTAACACTCCTTTATATACTCATATTTAACATATAATTTATATTTAGGTTTTTTTAAGCATTTTTAATTTTAAAAACATTAAAAATTCAGTAAAATGTGATTTTAAGCACTGACGTATACATACCTTAAGAAGCATTTTAATTAGGGACAGGGCGTGCAAAATGTCTTATTTAAAAACATTGTGGGTGTGAAATTTCACAAAACGTCCCATCTCAAGTGCAAAATGTCCTGTTTTCAGCAGTTTTGGAAGCATTTTAAGCTCAAAAATAAGGCATTTCACCAAAAATGTGCTCTAGACATTTCAGGCCAAAACATTTTGCACACCCCTAATGTTTATGTTATTTTAAAAAAAAAGAAGAAAAGAACTTTAGCCTCTGGAAATGTTACCAAGAAAAGTGTACCAAAAAGACAATCCGCTTCATGCATCATGGCATATCAGAACTGTGCTTCTTAAAGAATAGGAAAACTATGACAATCTCTATTCACTATGCTTCCTTTCTATCATTATTATGGTAATGTTGCTATTTCAGCTAAAAAAAAGGTGGTTGGATGTTGTACTGATGCCTCATTTAAAAAAGAGTAAAACATTTTCATTTCTAACACAAAAAGGGCTATGAATTCAAATCCATGTTGGGTCAAAATATGTCAATCAAATAGACAAATGAAGATGTTTCAAGACAAGGTTTTTCATGTCTAGTTGTCTTGCCTCAAATGTTTACTTTACAGAGGATCCAGGAAAAAAGAAAAGGAAAGCAATCAAATTTGCATAAAATTACTTTCCAAAGTAACAACTATAAATATTTTCCATTTGTAGCCCACCACTTTTTCTTTCTTCTTTTTCCCTGCAAAATATCTGTTAAGGATGGGGAGACACAATTGCTGCCTGATCCTTTGATAAGGAGCAACAGAAGCTACTGTTCTAGAAGCACTGGATTCTTTAGAGCAGTGTTTCTGAACTTCAGCAACTTTAAGACGTGCAGACTTCAATTCCCAGAATTCCCCAGTGAGCATTAGAGGATGGGTGAGATAGCAGCATAAAAACCAAAGCAACCAAATAGACATAAAGCCACTCACCAAAGTCACAACTACGATTATTTTGAGTGTAAATAAGGCCCATGGGAATATTCCAGCCAGCAGTTCTACCAACAGCAGTGTGACAGGATTTCTTTCCTTTCAGAGTGTTCCAGTTGATGTCAGTGTCTTTTTTCTTAGCAACAGCTACAGCAATATAGCCTTTAGCTGGAAAACAAGAAGCAAACATTTCTCCACTGAGAATCCAAATAACCTAACAGAAGGCAAGCATGGCCCGGTGATTCATTCACATCTTTAGTGAACATTTAAAGAGGAAAGAGCTCACATGGACCTTCACTACTCTTATCCCCATATTTGATGAAATACACATATGGAAATTTTAAGTATCTAAGCACTTTGCTAATGAATTTAAAGCCATAGCTGCCATCTTGAAATGAGAAGATAGCTTGTTTGTTTGTTTTTCTTTGTGCAAAAGGAGGGATTTTCTTCAACAAATTAGGAAGTTAGGGAACAAAATGTTTGGCCAAGTTTTAAATTGCCAGATAAAAGTTTAGAAGTGTTTCTCAACCTTGGCCACTTTAAAATATGTGGACTTCAACTCCCAGAATTCCCCAGCCAGCATGGCTGGCTGGGGAATTCTGGGAGTTGAAGTCCACATATCTTAAAGTGGCCAAGGTTGAGAAACACTAATTTAGAGCCTATGGATCTCTTAAGTTGCAATATATTCACCATGTTTACCCACCTGTTACACCTTGCTCTGGATTTTTGCATGCAGCAGAATCTTCAGCTGGAAGGAATAAAAACAGGATTTGGAGAAGTCACTTCAAGCTTAAGCACATTCAGGTTTTTACTCAGCTTTGTCAGGACTGCAGGAAAGGTGTCTTGTAGACTTAGAGGCAGACAATGCCAAGCATATTTACAAGATAAAAGACTCCATTCTGGAGTGCAAGGTTACCTGTACTCAAGACATAATACCTATGATCCAGGGTTGATGAAGTTGATGGATAAAAAGATGGACTCAGTTTCTATCTGGCCCCTTAAAATTTTGCAATAGGCCATGTATATCACTCTTTGGTGATGAGGTAAAAGTATTGGCAATATCATTGGTAAGATACGACAACAAAAAGGAACTCGAGGAAAGTGCATACCTCAGCTATAATCAAAGAACAGATCCCAAGAAGGAGTGAGGTGATTTAGAGCAGATTTTCATTCCCTTAGATCAGATGTTTGAAGGAATAGTTTTAGCGAAATGCTGCCCTGAGACACCTAAGTTTTTCTTAGTCTAAAACATAGAGCTAAAAGTGCAGACCATCAGAAGTCATTTCCACATACACAATCATGGGCATTAGTGGCTATTAACCTTGATGGCAATGTGACTGCCTCTGAAGACCATTTGCTGGGAGATTAGTGGGCTTCATTATGCAGTTGGTTGGCCGCTATGAGAACAGAATACTGGAATCGATAAGCTAGAGGTCCTATACAGCAGGGCACTTCCTATGTACTTACAACAGCCATTGATCTACTGAGTTCATACTTACGAGGGATTTCTGTCAACACTGGGATGAGGCCACATTTTCCTGCAGTGTAGACATGCCCTCCATCCAAGGTCATTGCATCAGCTTCTCTTTTCTGCAAAGAGTAATGAATTTTCTGGCAGCAAACACATTTCCTAATGTGGTTCTTTTTATGGTCAAAACAAACCACTCATGCTCAACAGGGATCCCCAAGATTTAAAGAAGAAAAAATATATTGAATGGAAGAAAAAACCCACCAACATTTTGAATAACCAATCTTGGCTGAGCAGACTCTATGGGACAGAGAGGTGATTGTCTACTGAGGGAACAAAACTGAAAAGCAAAGGCAGGAAAACAGAATAAAGTATCTTAGAAAAGGGCCTATCTGGCAAACCAGAATTTAGCAAGAGCACACTCAACTCTGCCTGTTGTAATTTCCATATTTTCAAAACTAGAAGAAAATATGGATCATCTTCCTCTTTGTTTCCCTCTGTTGGGCCTTCTGGTTTGTGGAACTACAGCTATATATATCCCCCATATTTCCCCCAAAGTTTTGGAAGAGTCAGGGTAAATCCAAAGGTTTCAGGATCTTAGTCTGTAGAAATCAAACTATAGGAATTCCAAAATTTCCAAAAATCTCTATAGAAATTCCAAACACAACATACTGGAAGGAATAATGTCAAACAATATTGACCTAACTGAAGAGAGGGACAAAGGAGCATACTATCTCATTCTCTGGATGGACATTTTCTAGTTCACCTTGAGATTTAAATATCCCAGGGACCAATGACATCACTAAAGAAATAAAATATAAGGACATCAAATTATACTTCCAGTCAAAATAAAATAAAGGGAGAAAAATAATGGAGAAAACGCTCCAAATGGAGGAGATAAAATTTAAACAGACCAATGAGTATGTTCCCTGGGCACAAAATGGTACTGGCCATTGGGGGCAGAGACAGTACGGTGGGTATAGAGGGAAATCCTGAACAGGAGCACCAGCTGTCCTTATACTGGTATTCTCCTAACTATTTCAAACACTCCCAGCTTAGGAAAATGGGGATTGTAATTCAACATATCTGTAAGATATGTTGGAAAATGCTGCACTATACACTCAACATGTTGTTGCAGAGGCCTCTTGCCCAGAATGAAAACTCATACCATGGGATTCCATGGGTGTATTAAATTAACATGATCTAGCAAAATCACAAGCCTGCTTGTTTATTTTACTAGCCTTCTTCATGGATTGCACCCTGTAACCTGTTTTTTCTTACATTCTTTTAACTAAAGTGCAAATCTGGCCTCAGTGAAAAGTGAAAAAGTACAGTGGGAATTTCAAGCACTTACTATGATCTTGACAATGCAGTCTTCCGTAGTTTCTGCAACAGCACACTCAATGGCACCATTGCTCTGTCCACTCCACAAATCACACTTTTTCTGCTCAGCCTTGCCCACTGCACACCATACAACTCTTCTCGTTGTATCAGGATCTGTAGTAGGTCTTTCTAAAGGACGAGAAAATACCTCAGTTAACCAAACATTCAGATTCCTCATAATGTTGCAAATTAATTGCTAGCATATGGAGACCACTGATGTAAGAACCACTGCAAGCTTCAGTGTACACCCCTTACTCTATCTGAGTCTAAAGTGTCTTGATTGCTATAAGGAAAATCACCAAGACTAGAATTAATGGGGAAAAGAACACAAAAACATGTATTTTACACTTTATAACAGTTGGATTGCTTTTGTTCTAGAACATCATTAAATAAGACATTTAAAGGGTAATTTGGCCATTTTAATAATGGCAATAGCAGGAAAACAGTAGAAATTACAACATTTACATGATCCAATTAAAACATATCTGCTCGAAGAAAAACCTTAGACCTCTTTATTGTATGCTCAGGATTTACATACTTAGCCATTTTATTTAGCATAGAAATGTTTCAGCTCTAGCTCCCAGATAACCTGAAATGGGCTACCTGGGAGTTGGCAGTGAAACATTTCTACCTCCAGTCATTTGAAAAATGATAAAATGGTATACTCCTGTACTTAAAAAAAAAAAAAAAGCCCAGAAACTAAAATAGGTACTTGGAAAAAGAAAAAAAAAAGTGCTTATGTACTGTATGTACATTTTGATGCTTTAACCTTGTATTTATAAATTTAACTTCACTTTATGTATGTTTCTGTATGTATGTATTATACCTGCTCATATATGTACTATATATGTGTGTGTACAAATGCACCGTCTCACATGCAGAGAGAGCAGGAGAATGGGAGGACATGGTGGCCTGTTCTCCAGACTAGCTATTTTGGAAGCTGTTGCCAAAGTGTCTCAGTCTCGACAGGATTTTCTTAAGGCAGCTTAGAGTCACGCCAGCATGAGCACAGAAAAATTAAATGGTGCTCTATTTAATTTTCACTGGTATGTCTCTGTAATCAAACTAGTATTCAATGTTTATAAAAACTTCTTCCCACCTGCCTGGAGTTCATCCCACATTATGCCACAAAAAATGGGGACTGTGATTTACTGCCTGTAACAGTTTTTCCTCGTGATTTTCAAGAAGAAAAAATCCCAGTCCTCACCTGACTTTTGCTCCCCCACCTATCGCATACAGTTTGATATTATTGCCCTTTTTATTAATTCAGGGTTATCCTCAGCTAGCCAAACAGATTAAAATATGGCCCTTAGCCACAAACAACTTGTGCCTAACCCTGTTGTTACACTGATGTAGTCAAAGCAAAACATTTTCTACTTTGACAATTTCCCTATCATATAGATTTTAGAAGCAGTCAACAGATTGTATAGCAATTAAGCTAGTATTGCTGTTAGTGAGTAAACCAAATGTCACAACTTTCTAATGCCTTCTTTTCAATACTTGGTGTTCATCACTGGGACTCCATAATGCATGATGACTCCTGCCCTGCTTACCTCTTCTGAGATTCTGTATTGCAGTATAGTACTCAATACCCAGGTAAAGTTGAGCATCCATTAGTTCAGGCACTTGAACAAGACTGAAAGCATCATCCTTAAACAGGAGGTCTTTGCCAGAGTCTAGAGGGGAGCCAAAAAGCTTGCATGCTGCCTGTCCTTGATTGGACTGTTCCTAAAGTAAGAGAAAAATGAATCAAAGAAGAGTGCGCTGAGATGGAGATATGCAAGTGAATGGAATATTTATTTATTTTATTTTACTCAATCTCTATAGTCGTCCCTCTCAGTTTACATGACTCTAGGTGGCTTACAATAAAACAAATAAAAACACAAGATACATAATACAAAACAGAAATAAAAATACATAGCAGCTGGGCACGATCTAACTTATCGTCCATACAACCAGGAGACGGGCTCTAACCCATGCCAGGGCCCCAGGCTTCAAGGCCTTAGGAAAGGCCAACAGAGACAGGGCCAGTCTAATCTCAGGGAGAATGATGTTTGAAAGGGCAGATGCCACAGCAGAAAAGCCTCTCCTCTAGGCCTCGCCAGCTGACACTCCCCAGCTGACAGGACCTGGAGCATGCCCTTCCTGACAGATTGGATAGGCCAGGTAGAAACAATTGGGGAAAGGCGGTCCTGTACGTAATCTGGTCCTAAGCTGTGAAGGGCTTTAAACGTGACAACCAGCATCTTGAATTGCACCTGGAAGCACATCAGAAGCCAATGCAACTTATGGACCAGTGGTGTCACATGTGCTGAGTAACTGGCACCAGTAACTGCCCACGCCGCTGCATTTTGCACCAGTTGAAGTTTCCAAATACTCTTCAAGGGCAGCCCCACGTAAACTGCATTGTGGTAGTCTAATCTGGAGGTCACAAGGGCATGAGTGATTGTGAGCAGAGCCCCCTGAGAGGCAAGAGAGAAATGAGGGAGAACAAAGCATCCTGGATAATGGAACTGCATGGAGAAACTCAGGAGCTAGGTTGCAGATAGAAAGTTTGAGATAAGACTACCACAGCCTGAATGAATCCAGAATTAAATATTGATTTTTTTCTAAATCAGAGCCTGCAACTGAAACTGGAAAGAGAATGGTAGCAGTTCTGGCTTTATCTCAACCAAAATATTCTCTGACTCCCTCCTCTTTCCTTGCATATAGTTCTGTTCCAATTCTCATCACTCCAATGATTTATAGAATAAATGGAAGACTTTTTAAACCATGGAACACTATCAGGAGTCAAACATGACCGTTCTCTTTTTCTTCCTCCATTTTTCTTTTATTTTCCAATGGGTAGCTTTAATATTCCAATTGTTTGCTACCCTCAACTTATCTGAATAGACTTCCACACAATACTATTATTGTTCAATCATCGCTCTGCCTTATTCATGAAACATTACGGGGGAGAGGGGTTCAGATGAGGAAAGTTTTCACCTGTTACCCTTCCATATTTTCTCATGATTTTGTTCATTTAAAAAGCAGATGGAATCGTTGCACTGTCCTTTAATTGGAAGCCTTAGAACCATCCATCTGAAGACATCCAGACCCTTTTGGGGAAACCCTTTTGGGAATTTGAGCATAGTTTTGGCTGGGCAGCAGCTTATTAGCTTTTGCTTTAAAAAGGTAGCGGCAAAATTATTCTTTTTAGCCTTTGGTATAAAGTTAGACATTTTACAACCATCGTCTCTTTGGCTGATTTCCCAACATATGTAGTTCCTCCATGAAACTATCTCAATGATCTCGTTACTATTTTTAGTAATGGGTCGGCCTGATGCTCAATTATATGAAAATCATTAACTATGTCCCAAGCAACACAGTGCTGCCAAACAAAGGAACTTATTTTAACATGTTCTCTATCTGGCTGCAAAAGAAATGGCTCACAGTTCCAGGCCAGGAACAATTTATTTATTTCTTTGTTCTCTCCTTTTTAAAATCAGTGAAAACAACTTTACTTGTGACATTTCCTTTTCTTGTTAACATTTTCCTACTAGTAGCTTTTATATATTCTTCTTCTTTTAGTCCTCCATAACATTTGAATTAAGATATTTGTGATATTAATCTTTGATCTGTTTTATAAAAAAGAAAGACTTGATAAATACCAATAGATGAGAGAGGAGTGCCCAGATTTTATCTGCCCGACCATCAACAGATCGGGCCACCACAGCATGAGAAGACACTTTAGCCCAGAAACAGTGTTCATACTCTTCAACAGGCCTTGTGGAGCCATCAAGACAAAGTAACTCGTACTTGCTTCTTTCTTCTGGACTGGCAGCTGTGGGGAATAAAAGGCAAACAGTGCGTGTAAGTAAGAAAGCAAAGTAGGCTCCATCATGTTGTTGTTGTTATTGTTATTTATTAAATGTATATATCACTTGGCTTATTTAATAACAAATTATTTAAAAGGGAAAAAACAAAGACAATGAAAAAGACCAGAAACAAAAAGAAGGGTAGGGATGGCAGGGTAACAAACCAGGTGGAAACAAAGGAAAACAACCTAAGTAAAAAGGAGGTTTTAGTCATCCGCACCAAAGGCCTGGGTGAAGATCCCTTTGAAACACCAACAATGTGAGGACCATTTAGATCCCGGGGGTGGGGACCTCACTCCATAGGGCAGACACTGCGACAGAGAGAGAGAGAGCACACCAAACCTGCCAGATTGAATTGGCCGGGCAGATACTATGGGAGATAAGCAGTCCCTCAAGTAACTCCTTATGCCATGTAAGGCTTTACAGGTAACAACCAGCACCTTGAATGACACCTGGAAACAAAGTGGCAACCAGTGCAGCTTGCGAAGCAGAGGTATTAGATCACTGCTCGCGCTGCTGCATTCTAGACCAGTTGAAGCTTCCAGGTGGTCTTCAAGGGCAGCCCCATGTAGAGCACGTGCAGCAGTCAAGCTGTGAGGTGCGCAGAGCATGAGTGACTGAAGGGCCTCCAATCTAGGAAAGGGTGCAAGTGCCTCACCAGATGAAGCTGTGCAAAGGGCTTCCTGGCCACAGCTGATACCTGCTCAATGAGCAATAGCTGTGAGTCCAGGAAGACCCCCAAGTTGTGCACCACCCTTGAATGGGGAAGTGCCATCCCATCCAAGGTCAGAGATGACATATCCCCAGAGCTGGGTGGCCCAAACACCCACAGCCACTCGATCTTGGTAGGATTGAGTCAGAGATGGCTCCTCCCCCATCCAAAACCTTCACAACCTCCAAGCACTAGGACCCAACCTCAACAGCCTCCCTTGGCCTGCCCAGGTTTGAAAGATATAATTAGATATCATTGATGTACTGATAATACCAAACCCCAAATCAGTGGATGACCTCACCGAGCAGTTTCACATTGATGTTGAAAAGGAGGGGAGAGAGAATAGAACCTTGTGGCTCCCCACAGGAGGGGCCTAGGGAATAATCTCTCCCTCTCAACTAACATCAACTGGAACCAGCCCTAGAGAAAGGAAGAGAACCACCACAAAACAGTGCCTCCAATTCCCAACCCAAAGAGTTGGCTCAGAAGGATACCATGGTTGACAGTATTGAAAACTGCCAAGAGATCAAGGAACACAAGGATGGATGCACCACCCCCATCCCAGTTCCACTACAGGTCATCTACAAATGCGACCAAACCTGTCTCAGTACTAAATCTCAGCCTGAAACCTGACTGAAATGGGTCTAGATAATCAGTTTTCTCCAGGGTTTTCAACAGCTGCAGACCATCCACCTTTTCAATAACCTTCCACAGAAAGGGAAGATTGGAGACTGGTTGATAGTTATTGAAGACCATTGGGTCCAAGGATGGCCTACTGAGGAGGAGGTGCACCACCACCTCTTTCAAGGCTGGGGGCACCACCCCATCTGTCAAAGTGGCCAACATTACACCATGGATCCAATTGCAGGTTACTCCTCTGGCTGCTTTCACAACCCAGGAAGGACCTGGATCCAGTAAACAGGTGGCCAAGCTGACAGCACAGAGTGCCCTGTCTACTTCCTCAGGAGTCACTGACTCAAACTTATCCCAGATCACATCACCAGACCATGCCCCAGGCACCTTGGTCTGCCCTACCTACTCAGTCCAGATAACCTAAATATTTGCCAGATAGCCTAAATAATCCTTACAGCAGCCCAACAGATATTCCAAGGGGCCTTCCGTACCCAACAGGGACCAGGTCATTTCGCCACTCCTATTGCCATGAAGTAATTCCTAATATGTCCAGTTAGACTCACTTGAAGTCTTCCTCCAACAGTGCTCCAGGCATCTCTTCTTGCACATCATCTCCTGGAGCTGCTCAGTAAACTAAGATGCACACCAGGGCCGGTGCAAAGGGAGAGGCTATATAGGAGCGATATGATCCAAAGCCCCAGCCACCTGCCCATTACAGGCAGCAACTAGGACCTCAGCCAAACTGCCCACCAAATCCTCAGGGAAAACCCCAAGCTCTCTCTGGAACTCCACTGTGTCCACCAATCACCTGGAGCGGGCCAGCTGAACGGGCCCTGTCTCCTTTGCGTATTCAGTGCAACACCATTTTTTCTTTCCAATTGCAAACCATCATAAAATATCATAAACTGGCTTTGAAATTCCTGTTTCAAAACCAATTTATCACATATTCTTGGAACATGGACTGTTGTTCAGGAAATACATGCCTAAAGTTTCCTTGATTGTCTAAATTCAAGCAAATATAATAACCCATAACATGATTTCCATGTTTAATGTGCTTGGTACACTTTGCTTAAAAACTTATGCAGTGCCATTATATGTATAGAATTCAAGATCTACAAAGAAAGATGATATAAGCACACCCCAAGTTCTCTCTGGAACCCCTATAGAAAACTAGAGTTGAGGATCCAATAGATGAATACTTGATATAATGAAATCCACCTGCAAAGAGTCATAAATATGAGCACTTAATAGCACTTAAACTGACAGGTTAGCTTTTTCCCAAATTCATACCTAATACCGTTGCTTCATTCAGAAAAGCCACATCTCCACCTCCAGATTTCAGACACCTTATAAAAAAAAAAAAGCAGTGGATAAAATATTAGGAATATGGGGTGGGGTTAAGTATTATATTTCTTGCATATTGTATGATGCTTGTACCAACCTTTCGGGTTTTTCAACAGAACAGAAACAAGCTACCCAAACTGAGCATACAGGGGCAACAAGGTACTGGCTTAAGACACCAAAGCTTAGGGTGTGCCAACACTGCCCCTCCTTCCAAAAACTATTCTAAAGGCTATTCTAAAAATGCAAATCTTCGTATCGGTGGGAGGTGGCACCATATATCCTTGAGCTGGCAGTGCAGATGTCATAGTTCAATTATTGTTTATTGCCAACAGAATGAATAAATATGAACTGAATAAAGAACTTAACATCTTTTACAGGAAATGAGTAGTGAGAATATGGAAGAATAATTAAGGCAGGAGTAAGACAATTGATTTCTCTCTGGTTAGGCAATTAGATGGTTGGTCCATCTAGCCCAATATTGTCCAAACAAACTGGCAGCAGCTCTTTAGGATCTTGGGCAAAACCCTTTGCCATCAATGAAGACTGGAAATCAAAATTGTGCCTAGCTGAAGAACCTGAAACCTTTGGTAAGTAAGGCAAGAGATGAACTACTGACTTACATCTTGTTACTGAAAAAGGGATATCCTGGAAGAGATGGATAAAGCGCAGAGAACATATATGTTCCAAAAGATTCGCTATAGCTAACATTTAAAGTAGAATTCCATTATCCAATACAATAGAAGAATTTAATACTGTTGTCATGTAAAAATATATAGCCTACTTCTTGCTGCACACAGTTATAGGACTGATTGATTGAACAGGTTGTATGATGCTTTAGTCACGCAGGTAACTGCAGGCAGCTTACATATTAATAACTAGAAGTAATAAACAAGAACAAAAAAGGCTAGATCATAATGCTGTGCATCGGGGGAAAATGACTAATGTACCACCTCCATCCCAACTCCACTACAGATCATCTACAAATGTGACCAAAACTGTCTCAGTACTAAATCTCAGCCTGAAACCTGACTGAAATGGGTCTAGATAATCAGTTTTCTCCAGGGTTCTCAATAGCTGCAGACCAACCACTTTCTCAACAACCTTCCACAGAAAGGGAAGACTGGAGACTGGTTGATAGTTATTGAAGACCGTTGAAATGGCAAGAACTGATCTGTTTGGTCAGAGAAAAAACAACAAAAACTTTTCTGAAAGACTGGAAACCGTATATAGAGTTTTGCTGAAAGAAGAAATGAAATGATTTATGGATTCGGAGATTAAGGAAGATGTGGATTAAATGAGGGGCTAAAGGGACTTGTATAACATCTAAAAGGGAGGTGGGACAATAAGATTGTAATTGTGGAAAAAAGTCGGAAGTCATTAATATATTTCTTTAGTTTTTTTCTTTCTTTTTCATTTCCTGCACTTTCTTATTTCTTTCTCTCTTTTTCTTTCTTTCCTTTTTTTCTTTTGATTTGTCTTTTATTCTATATAAAAAAAAATATATATAATAGCTTAATAGCTTAATAGCTTAAT